CTTGTTGATGACCCAAGCTCTGTAAAGGACCTTGGAATACTCACCTCTAATGATCTAAGTGCTAGAGCCCACTGCAACTACATAGCCAAAAAGGCATTAAGAGTTGTTAACCTAATCCTACGTAGCTTTTTCTCTGGTAATATCACACTACTAACCAGAGCATACAAAACATTTGCTAGACCAATACTTGAATACAGTTCATCAGTCTGGAATCCACATTACGTATCTGATATTAGCACAATTGAGAAAGTCCAGAAATATTTCACAAGAAGAGTTCTCCACTCCTCTACTCGTTGTAGAATACCTTATGCCACCAGACTTGAAATTCTAGAACTAGAAAACCTTGAATTACGCCGTCTTCGGTCTGACTTAAGCATGGTATATAAAATCATACATTGCAATGTCCTACCTGTCAGTGAATACTTCAGCTTCAACCATAACAACACAAGAGCACACAATAGATACAAACTCAAAGTAAACCGCACCAAACTTGATTGCAGGAAATACGACTTCAGCAATAGAGTGGTCAATGTCTGGAATACTCTACCTGACTCTGTAGTTTCTTCCCCAAACCCCAAAAACTTTAACCTTAGACTGTCTACTATTGACCTCACCCCTTTCCTAAGAGGTCTGTAGGGGGCGTGCATAAGCGCACCAACGTGCCTACCGTCCCTGTCCTATTGTTTCTCCTATTCTTTTATTTTTCATATATGTACCCATTTCATGTATTCACAACTATGTATACTCTTATACTTATTATCTTGTAAACAATTGGCAAATCAAATCAAATAAATAAATAAATAAATAAATAATTTGAGACCTGATATTAGACTATATTTGTTAAGATTTATTAACCTATTGCTAATCGAGAAGCTAGACTAATATTGATCGATTTGCCTCCGAGAGATTGAGTATATCATGGATTAACTGACAATAATTTTTAAAGCTAGTGAAGACAGGAAATTGATTTAATCAATTAAATAACAATAGAAATCTCTAATTAATTAATAGGGAAAATTAAAAAACTTAAATTATTGATAAAGTTGATGGTAATTGGTAATACAATTTGGGATAATATAACTAAAATGAACAATACAAAATTGTTAAAGATATGACTAGCAGCGCTACCACCATCACGAAACTGGGAGAAAATCTGTACTAACAGTAGCACTACCTAATCCTACACCATCGACCCAATGAACGATCAAAGGGATGTTGGCCCCGAAGAAACTAAATACCTCAACTGGCACCCAATCAGTTCAAGCTTCCTTGCTGGCAATTCAAGGAACAATGTTAGCACTACAGGAGTCGATGTCAAAAAACCACACTAAAAGTAGAGCCGATAGAGAAACAATGAAAACAGAATTGAAAAATGAAATAGGGGAAATAAAAGTTGAAATTAGGAACCTGGATGGAAAAATAGGCCAGATTCAGAAATCCATTAGGATAAATGAAGAAAAAATCAGAATAATTGAAGAACAAGCCAATCAAATGGAGAAGAAATTAGAACATATTGATCAAAAAATTACTGACCAAAACAAAGAGACCTTAATCCATCTCAAGATGGACAGAGTCTCCTATTACCTTAGATTTCAAAATGTGGAGGAAGATAAAGAAGAAAACTTAACACTGGTAATGGCCAAAATGTTAGTGGAACTCTTACAAAGAGATAAAAATGAGGTAGTAAATGAATTGGACGATGTATATAGAGATCACACAAGCTACGCGAGGCAGCACAGACTTCCTTGGGAAGTCCATATCAGGTTTGCTAGGAGGCAAGTTAAGGACATAATTTACAGAATTTCAAGAGAAGAAACAATAAAGTATAAAGGTAGAGAAGTAATTGTGCTGAAACAAGTGCCAAGAAGAGTCCGGGAGCAGAGGAAAGACTACAGATTCCTCCTCACCTCATGTTAACAAAAAAAGCATCTCTTTTAGATGGATCACTCCAGAGGGTATTTTGGCAACATGGAAAGAGAAGAGAGTGAAAATAGACAGTTTAACCAAGGCACAAGACTTTTTCGAATAAATATGTGGATCAGAAGAGGAATTTAGTAGGAGAGACGAGCCCGAGGCTTCAAGCCAAGAAGAATCACAACCTATAACTAGAGGGAGGGAGAGAGAGAAATAGAAGGAAAGAAGGGAAGAAATAGCCACCCGAGAAGAGATAGGAGTGAGAACCAGGAGTCAAACAACATCTAGAATTAACAAGGGATAAAAGTTAGACTAAGGGTAAAAGGAAAGAGGATTGAAACTAATATCTATGCACATCAATGGACTAAATGATCCATCTAAGAGGAAGACAATATTTTTTAAATTAGAGAAACAGAGAGCTGATATAATTTTTCTCCAAGAGGTTCATATTAAAATGCAGGATCAGAGATACTTACAAAATAAAAAATTGGGGGAAATGTATACAACATTAGCAGAAGAAAAAAAAACAGGAGTTGTACTATATATTAAAGAGGAAATAACTTCAAAATTGATCTATAACGATACAATGGGGAGAATATTAATGGTAGAGGTGGTCATTCAAAATAAAAACATTCTATTGGTGGGGATATATGCCTCCAATAAAAATCAGAATGAATTCTATAAAATCCTATATGAGAAATTGATAGAAATTGGCAACCCAAAAATTTGTATATTTGGAGGTTATAATGCAATTACAAATAACAATCAAGACTATGCATGTGAACAAAAATATATATTAAAAAACCCCGGAATATATTGCCCAAGTGCTTTTTTGAGATGGCCGAAGAATTAGAACTAGTGAATGCTTGGAGGGAGCTGAACCCAGGGGTGACTCAGTTCACTTTCTACTCCAATCTGCATAAATCATGGTCTAGACTGAAATGGCATGGGTAAACAGTGACTTACTTAAGGAAATTCAGGACATAAAGGTTTTAACTAACACCTGGGCAGATTACAACCTGTTGCAGATAGTCTGGAAAGACCCAACCCACAAGAAAAGTAGATGGACACTTAACTCGCAACTATTGAAAGAAAAAGACTACATCCAAAAAACCAGGGAAGAATTAGTTGGTTTCTTTAAATTTAATACAAAACAAGATACCTCATTGCAGAATCTCTGGGATACAATGAAGGCGTATTTAAGGGGAATATCTATAGCATACATAGCAAATAGAAATAAAAAAAGATGGGAAAAACGAAATACCCTAACAAAAAAATAAAAGATTTGGAAAATAGACAAATGGAATCTCCGGGAGATGGACAAATTAGAAATGAGCTGGCACTATCTAAGCATGAAATGAACATTTTAGATCAGGAGGAACTAACCAAGAAGCTACAATATATAAAACAAAATTATTTTGAACATGCAAATAAACCTGATAGATGGTTAGTGTACAAACTGAAAAAAGAAAACCAAAAAAGAACAATATACCAATTAGTGGACAAAAATGGAGTAATAGAGACTAATTTGGAAAAAAAGAAGGCAATTGTAAGAGAGTATTTTGCGAGCTTATATAAGCAAGTTACAGTTGATCTAAACAAAATAGAAGAATATTTGAAAGAAGAGTTTTACATTCGCTACCAGAGGACAAAAAGGAGATACTTAATAAAGAAATAATTTTAAGTGAATTAAAAGAAGCAATTAAAAAATAAAAAAGCAACAAAACCCCAGGCCCAGATGGCTTTCCAGGTGAGTTATATAAAGATATAGGAGATGTACTAGAACATGTGTTGCTAGAGATCTGCAATGAGGTATTACTGGAAGCTAAAATTCCAGAATCATGGAAGGATGCTTATATTAGATTAATCCCTAAAGAGGGTGCAGATGCCAATCAAATAAAGAATTATAGACCAATATCTCTTCTAAATTCAGACTATAAAATTTTCATGACTGTAATGGCAGAAAGATTAAAGAAAGCGATCAATGACAAAATTCATCCTGACCAAAATGGATTCCTTCCCATGAGACAGATTAGATATAATACGAGAACAATAATAGATATATTAGAATTTTATGAACTGCACCCAGGAAACCAAGTGGCCCTTGTCTTCCTGGATGCGCAAAAGGCCTTTGATAATCTTAATTGGGATTTCATGAAATACCAGATTAATCTGATGAAATTTGGTGGTAATTTTGCAAAAATGCTAAATTCAATTTATGCCACACAAAAAGCAAATGTACTGCTAGATGGAGAAGCTACCAAGCCATTTGAGATAAAGAAGGGTGTCAGGCAGGGATGCCCGCTATCACCTCTGCTTTTTATAACAATTCTAGAAACATTACTGGACAGTATTAGATCGAACAAAGAAATTAAGGGAACAAAAATTAAAAGTCAAGAGTACAAATTACAAGCATTTGTGGATGACATGGTCTTTGTCATAGAAGAACCAATAGATTCGGGACCAGTATTATTAAATGAAACAGATAAATTTGGCAAATTGGCAGGATTAAAAATTAACAAGGAAAAGACTAAAATGCTAGTTAAAAACTTAACAAACAGTAAACAAAAGGAATTAGAGGAAATGATGGGATTACAAATTGTGAATAAGATCAAATATTTAGGCATTTAGCTAAGACCTAGAGCATCAACCCTGAGGGAGGATAACTATATCAAATTATTGCAACAAATTGGAAAGGATCTGGAAAATTGGAGTAAAATGCAAATCTCATTATTAGGTAGTATAGCAATGATCAAGATGAATGTACTACCCAAAATTTTGTATTTATTTCAAACAATTCCAATATTATTGGATAAAAAATTCTTTAAAGACTTGGATAAAATTGTTATGAAATTCATTTCGGCAGGGAAAAAAGCAAGAATAAAAAAAATCTATCTACAAGATAATAAAAGCAGAAGTGGCTTTGGACTTCCTGTCTGGGAGACCTATTACAAAGCAACGGCACTAGTGTGGATAAAGGACTGTATTAAATTGGGAAATAAAAGAATCTTAACACTTGAGGGCCATGATTTACAAATAGGGTGGCATGCATTTTTGTGGAACCCAAACAATAAAAGCCATTCATATTTCTCCAGACACACTCTACGTAAATCTCTGATAAAAATTTGGACAGATATTAGAAGGAACCACTACACTAAAATTCTGAGGTGACTTTCAACAATGGAGGCGATGTTCCATCCCAACATGATGGATATTAGCAAAAAGCTCAAATACCACCAAATTCCAGACAATGAGGGAAAGCTTAAATCGATTCAGGAGTTAGAAACCCAAGAAATAATTACTTACAATTGGTCCTACTTTCAAATAAAAATGAGATATAATTATGGATTTGAAATAAAAGACACTCAATTAGATAAAATACTCCTGGGCCCGGAGAAAAATATATCTAAATTATACAATTACATACTAGAATATGAATTGGCTGAGGAAATTGTAAAAGGACCAATGCTAGCCTGGGAAAAAAAAACTTTGGTTATAATATAGATCTGGATGACTGGGAGGAAAACTGGCAAAATCAATACCATACAAGGAAAATCTATATAAAATGATATATAGAGGGCATCTGGCACCCTCTAGATTAGCTAAAATTATCCAACAGCAAACCAAGCTGTTGGAAATGTAAAGAGAAATTTGGTACTTATTTCCACCTTTGGTGGACATGCCCTGAGATTAAAAAATATTGGACAAGGATAAGAATATGGATAGAAGAAATGATTGAATGCAGACTGGAGTGGAAACCGGAACTGTTCCTCCTGGGGATGATTAAAGGGGACTATTCTCCCTATGTGAGATACCTGATCATCCACTTATTAACAGCGGTGCAAATTTCTTTGGCGCAATATTGGAAAAGGCCCAACGTACCACCAATACACATTATTATTCAAAAAAAAATATGAATGTGCTGAAGTGGAGAGGCTCACATTCAAATTAAATGGGAAGGATGATTCAGAGTACTACCTAGTCTGGGATAAATGGTACAACTGGGTAGAACGCAAGAAAAAGAATGTACAGAATAAATGAACCCAGGAAACATATTATATATAGGTGTATATATTGAATATATAAAATAATGGATTCAAGTTTCTCCTCTAATACATATACATTATGAAGGTTCTATTGATTAAATAATACAGTTATAATCCAATAGCAATAGTAGAGTAACATGTTTTATTTATTAATATGTTATCTATAAGAGACAAGGAATACTTGCCAATTATTATTTATTATTGTTTATTATGAACTATCAAACCTATTATCAAATGTAATAGAAAGAAATATGTTTACTGTCCTATTAGTATGTTTACTATTTTTTATTTCTGTATACTCAAAGGTTTATATCTTTTTAATCCTTTGCAAATAAAGTTCATTTTAAAACTCAAAAAAAAAAAAGAAAGAAGTAGGTTGTGGTCTACTTTGTCGAATGCCTTGCTGAAATCTAAATATATTATGTCCACAGTCTTTTGCTGGTCTACTAATTTAGTCACTGTGTTGAAGAATGAAATGATTGGTTTGGCATGATCTGTTCTTAACAAACCCATGCTAATTGCTAGTTATTACTTTACTTGTTTCTAGATGTTGGCAGATCTGTTTTTTTTATTATGTTTTCCAGTATCTTCCCGGGTATTGATGTTAGGCTGATTGGTCTATAGTTTCCTGGGTCTGTTTGTTTTTCCTTTTTTGAAGATGGCAACCACATCAGCTCTTTTCCAGTCCTCTGGTTAGTTCCCCGGTGCTCCAGGATTTTTGAAAGATATGGTGCAGTGGTTCTGAGATGACCTAGGCCAGTTCCTTTAAAACTCTGGGGTGTAATCCATCAGGCCCCAGTGATTGTTTTCATCAAGATCAGACAGGTGTTCTCTTACTATTTTTTTTGCTTATTTTAACTTTTATTTCTGGTCTGTCTTTTACAGTTACATTTTTGGTGGGTTGAGCTATAGTTTCTTTTTGCATGAAGACGGATGCAAAGAATGAGTTAAGCAGTTCTGCTTTCTCTCTGTTGCCTCTGTTGATTTCAGGATAATTGAAGTCTCCCATTAGTATTGTTGTATGTTTGTTAGTTGGCTGGCAAAAAGTACATCTATTTTTTCTGTTTGATTGGGTGGCCTATATATACACCTATGGCCATGTCATTCTTTTTTTCTTTTATGTTGACCCATATGCATTCTAGGAGGTTTTCATCTTTGGTTTCATGCATTTATGTAGCAATATAGTGGTCCTTTACATACAGTGCAACTCCACCTCCTCTTTTATGGGGTCTGTTTTTTTTAATAGTTTGTATCCTTCTACCAGTATGGTCCAATCATGGGTTTCATCCCACCAAGTCTCTGTTATTCCAACTATATCATATTTACCTTCATGTATTCGTAGTTCAAGTTCACCATGTTTGTTCCACAGACTTTGTGGATTTGTCACTTAAGGCACTTAAGACCTTTATGTCTGACACTGTGTTTACTGTCTACATAACCTGTGTTGTGCCTTCCTGCCCCTACTTTCTTGCCACCTGTTTTTTTTAAATAATTTTTTAATTAATTTTCAATAAACAAACATAGACAAACAAAACACAAAACATGAAAACATAACATTTCTTTTTGGAAAGTGGCTTCATCCCGGGTTACATCTTTTTGTACAGACATAAATCAAATTCATGCTCACCTTATATACCATTTCATATCTTATTTACCATTCTATATTTTCTATATGGCTTCTCCCCTTTTTTCACTCTCTTAATTCTATTTTGTTTATTTCATCTCAATTTAAATCATTATACTTGTATCTTTTGTCCGTTCTTTTTCAATTATCTATTTATCTTTTCTCTTTAACACAAAATTTCTCCTGTAATCACTGATTGAAGTGTGACGCCTTTCTATCTTTCCCCTAAATTTAACACTTAAAATAATATATAATTTCCATTCTGATTCTGCTTAGTACATTCTACGTACTACATTTTAAAACAAGAAAATGATTAGTTTATAATATAGTTAAACAATGATCCATAGCAAATTAAACTCTATCATTAAATCTTAAACATTTTACACATTCCCTTTAATATTTTATTAAATCATATAATATTCCAATTTTCTAACTCTATTTCAAATACAAGTACTACAATACAGTCTTATGTAGTTTTGCAGAATCTCTTTTTTAATTGTATTTTACCCTTTGTCTCTGAAAAAAACCTGTTTTTTTTACATCTTGTTTCAAGCCTTTATAACTTCTCTTCCCTTTTTCCCTTCCTTTCTTGTCGAATCTAGCCTTTTTACCCCCCCATCTCTTAATCTCCGCCCTCTTAGTCTCCCCTCTCTGTTGTATTCCTCTTTTCTGTTGCTTTCTGACATTGTATCGATATTTCACCTTATTTTTCCCTTTTTTGGTTGTTTTTTTAAAATCTTAAATTCTCCATTCTCTTTCCCCTCTTTCCCTTTTCTTCCTCAGCTAAAGTTGCTTGTTCATTAAAGATGGCTTCTTCTTCTTCATCCCAGCCTTCTTGTTGTTGTAATTCCTGATAGGTAGAAATCGCCATTTCTAAAAAGTGAAAAACAGATCCAGAAGAGCCCTTCCCTTCTTGTTCCTCTTCTTTTAACTTTTTGAATTCCATTTTCAATTCTTCAACAGATAATGCCATTGTGAGATTTTTTTAAAACAACCCAAATGTTTTTAGTCTTTCAAAAAATAGTTTCCAAAAGTCCCAAAGTCACCAAGCAATCCAAATCAACACAAGCTGTTTCATTTAGCACTTTCTTCTTTTTATACTTTCTCTTCCTGGGGTAGAATTCAATTGCAAAGTTCCAAAATGTATTTTTTAGAAGTCTTATTACAGTTTATCTCTGATCTTATAAGCTCTAAGCAGTCTCCTCCAGCAAAGTCTTAATATAAATTCTTTACCTCTCCCTTCCCACTTGTAGCAAAAAAAGAATTTTTTAAATTTTTAATTCCAATGTTCAGAAATCTTTAATGTTCCCTTGGCTTTAATTTTCAAATTTAATTACCTTCTGTTGCCAAAACGGGTCCTTCCGATTTCCATCTGCTATCTCCGTAGGGAAGGAGAGTGAGAAAAAACAAACTTTCCCTTTTCACTTTCATCCGCCGCTTTTTACAATCTTCTTAGGGAACAATGTATCTTTAAGAAAGTTGAATTTCCAGGGTATTTAGATGTTACTTGTCCCAGTTCAGCCAAAAACTTTCACTTTCTCAGCTTCCTCCTGCACATTCTTGTCTGGCTGAAAGCTTCTTTGTGGCGGCCATTGCTGACCCCCGCTCCACCGCCTTTGGAAAAGGGAGTTAAGCCGGCTGAGGAGGGGGGTTGCGATTCCCCCGGACCCCTGCCCAGATCTCCCCTATCTTCAGTTATCTCTACGGGATAACTATAGCCTCCAAATCCAACTGGATCGGGGGCACTCCAGCAGCAAGCGCAGCAGGAACCGCGCACGGTCGCGGATTCCTGCCGCCGCCGAAGCCTTGCAAACCGGAAGTCTCTACTTTCTTGCCACCTGTTTGATTAATACACATGGTATGGCACTCACTATCAAATGCTTGGTTTTGGTTGGCATCAAAGTTGATAATCTTACCTGCACAAACATCTATTTTGCATGCACTGGTATCCTTATTAGTTTTAGGTTGCTGGGGACAGAAATGTTCTGAATCCATTAATTCTCTGTCCCTGCTGTTCAGTTTAAATGTTTATCCAGGAAATCTGTGAATTTAATGTCAAGTAACTCAGTCCCTTTCTTTGATGGATGCAAACCATCTCTTTTGTACAGCTTCTCTTTTTGGCTCTTCTTGTGTGACTGGGGCGTAATACCTGATTCAAATTTTCTCCTTTCCACAGTAAGTTCTTCTTCTAGGACCATGATCCCTGGCTTACTTGAGTTATCATTATCACAACTACTTTGACCTGTCACTTCAGTGTGCCTATTAAGGTCAGCAAGGGCACTGTATCTGTTATGCTGGGACACAGCAAAAGTTTTGCATTTATGGTCCACAGCTCTCACCCTGCCAGATCCCACGATTGTCCATACTGCCCTTTTCCTGTAGGATCTTTGTGGCAGTGGGGGCTGGTAGCACATCAGCTCAATAGATGGCTGGATTGGGCACCTAATTTCTGCTTGGAGAGCACAGATTAGAGATTCTAGATAGGTAATCTGTCCATGTAGACTGGTAATTTTTTTACAAAGAAGACAGTATCCAAGTTTGAAAATAGTACTGAGAAAGACAGCTGTAAAACAAGTATTACAATGAACTAAGCCGGTCATTTTGAAATAAAATAAAATCACAATCTCAAGCGCACTTACCCTAAATATATTATTGGTATTCTTGGTTTATAGTTATATGATTTGTGCAGTTAGGCGCACGGGCCGCAATCTTTCTCCTTTCTACTCACCCTCTGCTTCCTTCACAAGCAGCCAGCAGCTCCTCCCACAACCTCTGGGAATTTGAAATGCAATGGAAGCTATTCCAACTGCCTCTCTTCTTTCTACTCACTTTCTGCTTCCTTCACAAGCAGACAGCAGATCCTCCCACAACCTCTGGGAATTTGAAATGCAATGGAAGCAATTCAAACTGCCTCTTATTTAAATAAAATAACATCAAATTTTATCTGGCAAATGAAAAAACCAAGAGTCAAACTGAAGTTGCTGCAAGATGCCACAGAAAGAGCAGGATTTGGCCTACCCGACTGGGAACTGTATTATAGAGCTGCAATTTTAATTTGGGTGAAGGATTGGATAAACTATAGAAATAAAAGAATATTAACATTAGAGGGTTACAATTTGCAGTTGGGATGGCATACCTTCCTTTGGCAGGATAAATCAAAAGGGCTATAGTTATGTTCAAAGACACAAAGTTAGACAGACTTTTAAATAGATGGAGAAAATTAAAAGAGAGATTTATGTAGAAACATCTATTTGGTTATCAATTTTAGAAGCATTGATGCATCCACATCTATTTAGACAAGGAAAAATTATCACCTATGAAGATAAATGATAAAGGTGTCAGATCCGTGTCATTTCTTCAGTGGAAGAAGAAAGGGGGGGGGGAGACTGATAAAGAAATCCTTTCTTGATGTAACCTGAATATATTTAATCTTATATTGAATTTGTATAACCCACACATGATACAATGGAGGGTAAGAAGCCAGATGGCCGGAACCTATCACCTCTGAGAGGCACAGCCAGGAGATGAGAAGATCATAAAAACTCCACAGTGAGATGTATCCTGGGAATCTCTGGAAAAGTTAGTTCTAAAAAGAGAGTGGGGGAAAATTAAGTATGCCCTGGGAAACTGTGAAAAAGATCGTTTCTACAGAAGGGGTGGAGGGGGAAATTAACTTACTGGCTTTTGTTTCATCAAATACACAGCGAGATAAGGGGAGGGGTTTCTAACCTCCCTTATTTATCCCTGTATGCCTGGGGGACCTCAGGCGCTGCTTTGAACTCCTACAGGAATTGTCTCATCTCAATAAACAATTCCTTTTGATACATTTGGTGTTCAGAAGTTTATTCCTGTTAATTGAATGGGAAAAAGTTCTGTAGCCTGACATAAAGCAGCGTCTACAATAGAGGTCAGCCTGGAGAGGAATTTAAAAAAAAACACCTTCACTCTACCGAGGGTATCCTGAAAGAAAGGAAAATGTCTGAGTACAGCAAGGACCAAGGGGAAGCTGAATGCTGGGGAGAAATGTCGACAGGTACCCAGCCAGATACTGACTTGGTGCACCCCATCGAAGATAGCGAAGCTGCTACGAAACCTCCACAAAGCCCCGGTGGTCTATAGGCATCGGAAAGAGAGACAGCTGGGACGGAAGAACCAGGGGAGTAACCCTCACCCAGGGCACTTGTAAACCCGGATGGAAATTGGAGCTGGAGGCCCTATCGGATCAGGAAGGATGGGACGAGGAGCCACCGGCCGATGACCGACTGAGACGGTACATAAATTGCCTCATGAAGGAAGCCCTTGAGAATCTCAAGGTGAGGGATGCACTAGGACGCCAATGCAGGAGAGCGAGGGAACCAGAAAATGAGAGAACCCGAGCCGCCACCCAGGATTCAGCTGAGAATGATCGGGCAGCAGGAAAAGATGAAGAACGAGCAGCTATACCAGGTACCTGACCCCTAAATGCCCCAGAACAGAGGATTAACCCTGGCCAACCCAGAGACATACAACTGCAGAGGAAGGTCCCACCCCTGGGAGTAAAATTTGATGGGGACCTCCAGAAACTGAGATTTTTCCTGTTGCAAGTCCTCACCTACATGCAAGAATATGGGCAGAATTTCCAAACCCAGGGATCCCGAGTACGAGTCGTCACCCTGGCCCTAGAAGGGGCAGCAGCCAGATGGATGGTGACGCTCCACAATGTCAATGCCCCAGAATTAAGGAACCTTGACCGCTTCATGATGGCTCTACGCCACTGCTTTGAAGACCCTCTCGCCGATAGAAAAGCCCAAGACCGCATCAGAGTTGTAAAGCAAGGCCGTCGCCCGGTAGCTGAACACACCGAGGAATTTCATGACCTGGCTGGCCGAGTCAACTGGCCAGAGGATATCCTAGTCTGTTGGTTCAAAGATGGATTAAATGGCAACCTATACGCTGCCTGCCTGGCCCGTGGGGCCCCAAACCTCCTGCATGAATGGTACATGATGGCAGAGGAGGCAGAGATAGACATGACGGTGTGGCAAGTTTTGGAAAAGATTCCCACCCCTGGGGAAATGGGGAATTTTGAAACCCAAACCACCATGACTCTAACAATGTCTGGTTGTTTTAAGTGTGGAAAGGAGGAACACCGCGCAGCAGAATGCCATTCGAAAACCCCTGCCAGAAAGCCAGACCACCCATCAGAGGGAAACCTGGAACATCCAGCCCTCAAGGAAAGGAGACTACCCTGAGAGGCCGAGTAGCTGTGGGATTCCAATCCCCCCAACCCAGAGGAAGAACCCCCAATGCTCCGAGGGGACCTGAGCTAGTCCCAAAGAGATCCAGAAGACGACCCGCTGGTAAGCAACCCAATTGAACCAATCACTCTACCCCTAAGACTATTTATCCCCAGCTGAGGGAAGGGGGAGGAAGTTACAGCATTGCTGGATTCGGGATCCACCCGATGCCTAATAAATCCCTCCCTTGCAGAGAAATTGGGGATCCAACTGAAAGAAATGGAAAATCCCATCGCTTTCTGCCAATTAAATGGAACTATAGTGGGGTGGGGGGGAGCCAGCTAGGTTTACCACAGAACCATTGAAAATAAGATTAGGGAACCATAGTGAGATTCATTGTAGCCCCAGGAATGGAAGAGCTGCTAGTCCTAGGTCTCACATGGCTGCGGAAATGGAATCCAAAAATAAATTGGAGGAGAGGAACCATACAATTCCAGAGAGACGTAGTATTTGCAAATAGCTCAGAGGAAAGGATAAAGAAATGGACAGAGAACAGAGAGTCAGCCATGACCGGACAGCTGGCTGAACCCATTAACATCCCCAATGAATACCAGGATCTGGCCCAAGTATTTCGCGAGGAAGCTTGTGATGAACTTCCACCCCATCGTGCCACAGACTGCGCTATCGAAATCCTACCAGGGGCTAAACTCCCAAAATCAAAAATGTACTGCTTGTCTCCCAGAGAACTAAAAGAACACAGAGCATTTTATCGACAAAAGTTTAAAAAGGGGGTTCATCGAACCTGTCCGACCAAAAATAGCTGCCCCAGTGTTATTCCGTGAAAAGAAAGATGGCTCCATGCGTCTGTGTGTGGATTACCAAACATTAAACATAGAGCATATGTATCCACTCCCCCTCATGAAGGACATGTTAGCCCACCTCTCAAAAGGAATTTTTTTTTCTAAGTTAGACCTATGAGAGGCATATTACTGCATAAGAATAAAGGAAGGACATGAGTGGAAGACAGCTTTTAGCACACCATTGGGATGCTACCAATTTAAAGTGCTCCCCTTTGGACTGCAAGGAGCGCTTGCCGTGTTTATGCCATTGATCAATGAAACCCTTCATGAATTTTTATATGAAGGGGTTCTAGTGTATCTTGATATTTTAATCTACATGGAAACAATGGAAGAACACATCAATCTACTCCGTGCAGTCTTCACAAAACTCTTAGATGCTAAACTATATGCAAAACTCTCTAAATGCGAATTCCACCAAGAAAAAATTAACTACTTGGGTACAGAATATCCCACAAGGGAATAGAGATGGATGCGCAGAAAGTAAAAGCTGTAATGGACTGGGACCCACCGCACACCCGCAAACAACTGCAAAGTTTCCTGGGGTTTGTGAACTTTTATCGCCAATTCATTCCAGCTTTTGCAAACATCGCCCTCCCTATCACAAACTTGCTAAAAACGAAGGGGGGGGGGGGAGAAACCCAAACCAAGGCAACCCCTTATCTGGACAATGGAATGCCAAGCGGTATTCGAAAAACTCAAACATCTATTCTCAGCAGAACCGGTCCTTAAGAACCCAGATCCTGAACAACTCATCCAAGCAGATGCTAGTGATGTTGCAGTTAGAGCTATCCTACTCCAAAAGAATGGAAGTGGACAATTACAACCATGCGCCTTATACATCGAAGAAACTGATGGAAACCAAGCAAAGATGGACGATATGGGAGAAAGAGGCATATGCTGTGCGGTGGGCAATGCTTACATGGAGACATTTCCTGGAAGGAAACCAAATCCCTTTTGAAGTATGGACTGATCACAAAAATCTGGAAGCCCTGAGAAATCCACGGAAACTCTCTGAAAAACAAGCAAGGTGCGCTCAATACTTTTAAACGTTTTAATTTCACTCTCAAATATTTTCCTGGGGGAAAGAACTTCATGGCAGATGCCCTGTCCAGAAAACCCCAATACAACAGGAAAAAGATTGAGGTTATAAAACCAATGATCCAACAGACCCAACTAGCAGCCAGAGGAATCACCCGGGCACAAGAGAAAAAAAATCATCACTGACTGAGGATACAATGACGTCAATATTTAAGGAGGAACTACTTAAGGACAATTGGCTCCAGGCTAACAAAAATGCTTGTTTACTCAAAGATGGACTGGCTTGGGTAGAAAACAAATTTTATGTCCCTTCAAGCCAGAGAATCGACCTCATGAAACGTTGCCATAACCCCAAAATAGCAGGACACTTTGGGTTTGTAAAAACCCTGCACCTCATCAAAAGTCAATTTTGGTGGCCGTCCCTCAAACAGGACATTGAAAATTATGTTGCAAGCTGCCCCACCTGTGCTGCTGCAAAGAGAAGACAAGGAAAATATCCTGAACTTTTACAAACAGTAGCAGACCCTTCTGCACCCTGGAAAGAGATCTCTATGGACTTTATAGTGGAGCTTCCCAAAAGTGCTGGAAATACTGCCATTTGGGTTGTAACTGATCTATTTTCCAAACAGGTTCACTTTATTCCATGCCAAAAAATCCCAACTGCCAAAGATGTTTCTAATACACATCTATCACCTTCATGGAGCTCCCCAATGGATTATCTCAGATAGGGGTGTTCAGTTCACATCCAAATTTTGGCAGGAGGTTTTAAACCTATTAGGCTCCACCCAGGATTGTCATCATCAAGTCACCCTGAAACGGATGGCTCGACAGAGTTAACAGCGTATTAGAACAATATTTAAGATGCTTAAATAACTCAGTCCACAGTAGCACGGGGTTTGCCCCATTCCAGGTAGCCACGGGCCAAGAATTCAACCCCATGCCAGAACTACCCACCAAAGATCCTGAAATCCCCTCCCTTAAGGAGTGGATGGATAACTTACAAGCCATGTGGGCAGTGGTAAGATTATCTTTACAGGAAGCTAAAGCAGTTTTCAAAACTCAAGCAGACAAAAAACGTTGCGAACCTAAACCTTTCAAGTTTGGGGACCGTGTGTATTTGTCTATAAAATTCTTAAAATCATTACAACCCTCTATGAAATTAGCACCAAAATTCATTGGCCTATTCCCCATCTCCAGAATTATTAACCCTGTGACGGTAGAGCTTCGACTTCCAAAAACACTTAGGCAGATTCATCCAGTATTTCACTGTAGCTTGCTCAAACCGGAGACCACTTCAAACCTCAAACCCCCCCCCCACACCTCCAACCCCCATCATGGTACATGGGGAACAACATTTTGAAATTAAAGATATCCTTGATTCACGCACTTACTGTGGATCCATACAATATTTAGTAGCTTGGAAACATCTTCCTTCCTCAGAAAATGAGTGGGTAGCCAAACGACACATAATAGCACCCACATTACTATGAAAGTTTCACCTAAAATACCCTGATAAACCATCCTGAATTGCAAATGTAATGCATGATTTTTTGTTTTTTCCAGGTAGACCTATCTGTTTTTTAAGGAGGGCAGGATGTCAGATCCGTGTATCTGTCATTTCTTCAGTGGAAGAAGAAAAGCGGGGGGGAGACTGATAAAGAAATCCTTTCTTGATGTAACCTGAATATAATTAATCTTATATCGAATTTGTATAACCCACACGATACAATGGAGGGAGAAAACCCAGATGGCCGGAACCTATCACCTCTGAGAGGCATAGCCAGGAGATGAGAAGATCATAAAAAATCCACAGTGAGATGTGTCCTGGGAATCTCTGGAAAAGTACATTTTAAAAAGGGGGTGGGGGGAAATTAGGTATGCCCTGGGAAACTGTGAAAAAGATCGTTTCTACAAAAGGGGTGGAGTGGGGAATTAACATACTGGCTTTTGTTTCACCAAATACACATCAAGATAAGGGGAGGGGTTTCTAACTTCCCTTATTTATCCCTGTATGCCTGAGGGACCTCAGACGCTGCTTTGAACTCCTACATGAATTGTCTCATCTCAATAAAGGATTCCTTTTGATACATTTGGTGTTCAGAAGTTCATTCTTGTTAATTGAATGGGAAAAGTTCTGTAGCCTGACAAAAGGGGAATTACAATCTAGACAGGATTTGAAGGATCAAGGAATTGATGTGGAATGGTGGGCCTATTTGCAACTCCAATCAAAATATTTAAGGGATAAGAAAGATTGGAGAATTAGTAGAACTAAAACAAAAATAGATGAAGTAATATTAGGAACTGACAAGAAAATATTTTAAAAAATCTATAAAATCGTATTGGAATTTAAATTAGAAGAAGAAAAAGAAAGGAAATGATGGTGGTATGGATGAAAAAGTTTGGTTATAGCATCAATTTAGATGATTGGCAAATATTATGGAAAAGAAACAAAAAATGACATTAGCCATACCCTTAAAAGAAAATTTGTATAAATTATTTTACAGATGGCACATAACCCCATCAAGATTGGCAACAATGTATTCAAAACTCTCCCCCACTTGCTGGAAATGCAATAAAGAAAAAAGAACATATTGCCATCTATGGTGGAACTGCAAAGAGGCCCAAAAATATTGGCAAAAAATACAGAAATGGCTAGAAGAAATATGTAGGATGAAAATAGAATATAGACCGGAGTTCTTTTTGTTTTTGATTAATACGAGAAAATATGATAAAGACAATATATATTTAATAATTCATATAATTACCACAGAGAGATTGGCATACGCACAGCAATGGAAAAGTAAAGACACTCCAAATGAATTTGAAATAATTAGGAAAATCTGGATGTGCACAGAAATGGACAAATTGATAAAGGAATTAAAAATTAAGGATGAATCGGATTATTATAAAATATGGGGCAAGTTTTACAGTTGGTTAGAGAAGTGGAAGGATCAAGAGAATAAGGACTAAATGTATATAGAATAAAAATATGTATTATTATTATTATTGGAATTAGCAATGTAATGAACAAAGATGGATGTTAGAGGATTGTACCATGTTCAATATTTTTAATGTATCTTTTGTTTTTGTTTTTGTTTGTTTGTTTTGCTTAATAAAGAAAAAGAAAGAAAAAGAAAAACCTGCAGTCCGACAACAAGGGTTTGGGCCCTGTAGCAGAAGACTCCAGCTGTTTCTGAACGACCTTCAGAAAAAGCCTAGGAGATGGGACGAGCTCCTTTCTCACCGTAGGTTTGTCGAAGAGAACATCCAACTCCGTGGGAAGCTGAGCAGCGACCTCTTCCTCATCCACATCCTTCAGATTGGCCATGTTTTTGGCTTTGAATAGCAAGGGGGTAAATAATGTATGCTTGAAACAACCTGTGAACACTAGGATCTCAGGGGTAACACCCTCACACTCAGACATATCAGACTCTCTCTTGTCTGGTTCGCCAATCAAAGGAATGAGCAGCAGCCACAGATGGAGCAGAGGCTGATGCAGGAGACACACGTTTCTGAATCAAGAAACCCCTTTCTGACAGTAGAGCCTCTTGATCCCAGGAAAGTGTCACCGAAACCTCAGATGCCACTGAAGAATGCCGGGAAACCTATGGATACTTTCAGAGATACCTTTTCTGATAGCCCTATCAATCAGGAGCTGTAGATTAACCGGGACATCTGGTTCAGAAGGCCCAGCAGGTCTAAGACCAACAGCAGTGGGTGTAAAAGTGGCCTCCATTCCAGGCCTACTGCATTCTCGATCTTGCCAATGAACAGCTCTGAATCCCCCATGAGGATCACCATGACTTCCCTCAGCAGAGGGATGAGGAGAGGCCTCCCTTCCAGCTGCATCAGGGGACCAAGTTTGGGCTATGTTCCTGGAGGAAGGTCCAGGTTCCTGACCTGAAAGTCAACCTCACTGTGATGCAAAGCAAGAGATGTTTTCTTTTCTGGAGATCTTGTCCTAGAGGCCTTTTGCACCTTGGCCTTCTCTGTGGCCTTCTGACACCTGGAAGCATTCTTCTCCTTTGCCCTAGAGGCCTTCTTAGTTGGCTGCTTTCACTGTTTAGTACTTGAAGCAGATGGAGCTGCCCTGTGGGATTTTGCTGCTCTGAAGGTCCTGTTGCCTCTAGGGGTATCTACCATCTTGAAAGCAGGAGGCCTTCTTGGACTAACAGTCCTTTGCAAGGAGAACGCACAAAGGCTTTTTAAAAAAAAAACTAAGGGATATCTTTTTACTCATCCCTAACCTCCAAGAACCACTCTTCTTCAGCCCTATGCAACTTCAATAGGTTTTAACACCTCCTACTGGGACTCATACCCATTGGGGCCTAATAGGGCTATTAAATATGGACCAGGCATGGCCTGAAGCCTGGGGGCCCTGGTCTACCTTGGAGTTAGGGACAGGTCCCCCACCAGAATGAAATAAATTAAACAGCTTCTAACCTTCATTTTCAGCCCAGCAACGGCGAGAGGTTAAGGCCTAGTGCTGGCCAGGCGCTGGAGTGGACTGGAGGATCAGGCTGAGTCTCTTCAAAATGGCCACCTCAGGCCTAGAAGACTTCCAAAATGGCCACCGCCAGCCACAAGGTAATTCAAAATGGCCACCTGTGGCCACAAGGCTTCCTGCTTCACCGAGGAACCCCAATGGAGGTTCCCCGACCTTTGGCTGCTCCCTGGAAAGCAAGGGCAGCTGCTGGGCTGGCCGCTCAAATTGCGACTCTCCTCTTTATTGCGGAGGCTTGGAATTAGCCCCACAGCTCAGGATACTGTGGGCCGATGCTGCCCACACTTCAAAATTGCCGCTTGGTTCCTGCAGCTTCCTCTTTGCTGCAGAGGCCCAGCCGCTCCAGAGTGCCAGAGCAGCTCTCAGCTGTTGCACGGCACCAAGAAACAGCTGAGAGTCAGAGCCGTGTTGTTTTGAATTTTGAGGCTTTTTTCCTGATTTTTGTTGAATTTCTCAATAGAGACTGCCTTTGAAAGTTAAAGGCAGGAGAGGCAGTGTTTTGCGTCCATCCTGGCTGAGGACTGAGTCGAAAGCTGGGAAAAGCCACCTCAATCAGCCTTTTAGACAGACTCAGTCCAAGCAGCTAGGACAAGAGCAACCCACTCCTGACCTGTAGCAGCCTTACAAGGGAGGATGACAATAATTTGTCATTATACATATGGAGGGTATCAGGTTGGAAAAGGACATAACTCTAGAATACTTAATGTGGAATACTTTGTGCTCAGTTTGGTTGTTTGCAGACATTTCATTATCCAACTTTTGGATTAAATGATGTTTGGATTAAATGATGTAGATGTTTTGGATTAAGGCATCAGTCTAGAAAACAGGAGATTGTGAGTTCCAGTGAAAGCTGTCTGAGTGACTTTGGATCAGTCACACTCTCTCAATCCAACTCACCATACATGGTTGTTGTTGTAAGGAAAATAGGAGGAGTATTAGATATGCTATCTGCCCTCAGTTATTTATAAAAATAATAAAGGTTGAATTAAAAAAACCTTTATCCCCCCCACCCAATAATTCCTAATCAGCAGTGGGGAGGGCACCAGGCAGGAAACTGCAAATCCTTGAAGGATTATAACATGTGCTTTTAATTAGTCATGAGATAAGCAACTAGGAACTGCAATTGCTATGATGCAAACACTATAGGCTGGATTCAAGCCAAAATACAGTATGTTTGTTTGTCTAAACCAACAGTTATACGTTCAATAAACTGTTGGGCAAATTTAGTTTATTGTGGGAATTTCATATTTGATTGAAAACCATCCAGTGTGAAAATTGCTACATACTACAAATAATGTTTCTTTTTATTTAAAACCAACTCTTGGTGACTGCATGGGCAGGATCATGTAATTTCTGTGAGAAAAATTAAAGAGATAATTTGCTCTTTCAGGCGTTTATACTTTTTTAACTTCCAAATATAGCTTAATAGCCATGGAATTATAGATTGTTCAAAGAAGATAAGTATATATTTAACTTTGTTAAAGTCTACAATTCTATTGAATATCAGCCTGTTTTATTATCCATGTACTAGGAATGCCACATGATAAATTGGGAGTTGGCATTACATCAGGGGTAATGCATTAGTGTTCATTTTTTATGCGGAGTTTGAACGAGTTTTTGTATGGCTAGTTTGCCAAGCATACAGTACACGCCTGTGTTCAAAAAACAATTAACATACTTCATTCACTACTATTAAAATCTGCAACCTGCCTTAAAAACTATTTAAAACTCAAAATGGCTCACAAAATTTTTTCAAGTGTTATATTGAAAGTCCTGCTTAGGTGGGGCGGTTGTTCTATTAACAAAGCAAACCAAGCGTAGTAAAAATCAAGGAGAACATAAAGTTTTCCTTAACAAGGGAGCCTTTCTATATATCTGCAACTGATTTTGAATTTGTGATTCTCGTCGCTAACAATCATAATGAAGAACAGAAAAAGGTGGAGGAGATACTGATTATGCATTTTCTGATGTAATCCTTCAAGGTCTCTCTGATCGACCCAACCATATCTCTCTTTACCACTCGGAATTCGAACTGACTTCAGAAGCGCTTACCCAGATAAGTGTTCCCAATTAATAGTGAAGTCGGTCAAGATAACGTTTCTTGTTAGCTCGGTAAAATTCCAAACCAAGCCAATTTGGAGCAGACAGCACTACAGGTTAGAACTAGTAGAACTCTCATTTTTCCTTTCCCCCGACCCCTCCCCAAATTGTGCGGTCCCAGGTGACGGAGGCCTCTCCCCTTCCTGCCCGCATGCGTCCCCTTAGTTCTGACCCCAGGAGTCCCGCCGGCGGGGCTTTTCACAAATGACGCTTGCGGATGCTGTGCTAAAACCTGCACTTTCGAAGAACACTGCGCATAATTTGCTTCTCCGGACGCCAGCCTTCGGCCACAAGTCCAGACCTCTGAATTGAAGAGCCTGCCTTTGGCTGCGACAGCTGGTACTCAGACTCTCGACGGTGTCCCTGCTGCCGCTGAAGATGGAACAATTGCCCCGCGAGAGCCACCAGGAGCGCGCTTGTTCCCATATGGTGACCACAACCAGGAGCTCCTTTGCGGCTACTTTCACGTCCAGATCCAACACGCTCGCCTACGACAAAGAATTTCTGAAGACGATTCCTGGAGTCCTTATGGTGGTTGAGATAGTAAGTCTAGCACTCCCAAGGGGCGGTCGTAAGCAATGGAAATTGTTGGGTAGAAACAAGTTTCACAAACTTGGCTTCTGGAATATAAACAAAACGCCAAAAAAAAAAAAAGCCTGTATTCGCACGTTATCTGAAGCACAATTTTGCCTTAGGGGCTTTGCGTACGCAGCCCACGTGCTTAGCTTACTGGTCAGTATGGTTTGCAATTCGGAAACCTGGTTATTTCTTTTAACTTTGTTAACACAGCTACTAGGATTTGAGATGTCCATTTTATTCCCAGCACTCTTCCCTCAAAGCAGACCACAAATACCTTCCGCAGCAAATATAGCCAGCAAGAAAGAGCATTTGGCTAAAAGTCAGGAGGAATCTTTAAATTTAGGCAGCCTTCTCCCTCTTCTAAAACCATTCAAATTATGTCCTTTTGCTATTTTCATTTCTTTCCACATATCCTTTTTAAGTTTTACTACAGGTGAGGCCGTAAAATTCAGAAGGGTGTTTTAAATATCTAAGCAACATAAGTCAACATAATATGATACGTTTTCTGAAAACAGCCATATTTAAAAACTACGAAGGATATCATTTATTCACTTGTGTGATTTGGTCTAACAGTTAAGGTACAAGGACTGGGAGCACCTTAATTGCTAGGAAACCAGCTGGGTGACTTTGGAGCAACTTTGGCAATTAGCCCTAAGATGAAGACAATAGTCCACCCCTTCAAAATGTTGCCAAGAATATTGCAGGAAGTTGTTCATGTAGTCACCAAGACTGATTTGGAGGCAACCCCTCCCCCCAAACATATTCAATTCACATTGTGAATACCCTGAATATGTGCACAACTTTCAGGTTGTTTCAGATATTGAGGACTATTGATGAAACCATTTTATATTGCCAATCCTTGTGCAAATTATATAATCAAGCAACATGTATGATACAATGTTATAAGATACAATATTTTCCCTCAGAAAAATACGGTAGATCTATTTGTCAATTACATCAAAGACAACAAAGAATATAGCAAATTAAGGATTAATAAACTTATTCCCTGAAATTTTATAATAAATAGGTTTCCTATATATTTCTCCCCTGTCCTGCGGAAAAGAAAGATAAAATTATTGCTTTATGGGCCATTACTGAAAAGCTAGAAGAGTTTTCCAGTCTTTCCGTAAGATAAGATCTGTAGGCAGCTACTGTTAAATTGGCTCCTTTTCTGAAGTGTTACATCTCATTTCTTACTCTGCAGTTTAGTTCCATTCTATATATGTAGTTGACACTCTTAGTAGTTGGTTTTCTTCATTTGTTGAGAACTATTCAAATTCAAGACAGTTGAAAGATTGTACAAAGAATATATCAGCTGGCTGGAGCATGTATAAACAGTGCTGGAATGAAAAAATTGGAAAGTTCCTTGCCTTTCACTTCAGCATTTTTATTCAAGGGGGAATATAGGATGCTCAACTGATTGCTATGGATATTGGATTAATAAGGACTGTTTCTGAAACTGAGCATCAGGTGGATCCTGTTGTTCTTAGAGAAGAATGACACTATGCATGCAGGACAGGTTTTATTCCCATAAATACTTTAGTACACCTGGCCATATTTTATTCTGTTAACCTACTGACAGTGAAGAGGTAAAATGATGTTAAGGAGTACAGGCTTCAGCCTAGAAAACCACTCCGATAATGTGTGATGTAGGAGAACAGCTGGGAAGAGAAGGGAATGTGTAGATGTTTAGAGTAATTTATTATGAGAATTACTGTAGAAAGCTTGTACCTTAGCAAAGATGTATGTTATCTACTTACTGGTTTCGTATATATTAAAAATAATGATGGGCCTCCTTAGTCAGAGCTACACATTTTTTAAGGACTTGGGTCCTCACTGTCTGAGAACATGATGCCAAATGAGGCAGCTGCATCAACATGTAGATGGAGCCTGGATTTCATGGCATTTTGTGCTGGGCTGAGGGTTTTTTTTTATCCAGCCCCCCAGCTGTGAAAGTCAATTTAAGACTATAACGTTCACTGAGTTAAAATGAGAGGAAAGAATACCATTTTTTTTTGTCAGCAGTACTACTGAAATATAGTACATTCAGAGGTTAAAGGAAGACAAATGGGAAGTGCAAGGGGAGAAAGGGAATTATAAGATGAAACATGGGACTCACGTTATCCACCCCTGATTTAAATATGTTTTCCCAAAGGGCTTAGTATTTGCAACAGACAACTTAATGAGTAATGTAATTTAAAATAGTTATAATATTCAAGATCAGCAGATAAACATTGCACAGCAGTGTGCTATATTTGTGTTTATAATTAACATATATGTTTGACTTATTCTTTATTTAATTTTTTTATTTTAAAAATGCATTTACTAATATAAAAATGTTGTACAATATATATTGGCAGCAGTATAAAATTAGCAGTAGTAAAAATGATCTGTTAAGGCTCTCAAAATGGAATCTTACGCTTACCCGTGTTTTTGTCTGAAATTTAAATATTATTGTACACTTTCTTATTACTTTTCTGTATTACCTAACAGAAGATACCTTCTTCTCTAGATGGCTTCAAAACAGAATTCATGAATTTCATAAATATATATAATAATTATTCTTCCTGTCCTGTTCTGCACAAAGGCAGATAAACTCCACAGAGCATCAATACAAAGTGTTTTTATTGGTTCATCAGGCATCCTTATCAACTCACATTTATGATGAGGTTCTTCTTAATATCCAATCTTTTGCATATCTGTCTTTATGGGTAAAAAGATGGTTATCTCTTATCCTTTTCATCCCATATCATAGAGGCAGGGGTTAGAGCTGCTACCACGAGGCTGTGTGTTCAGGCAAGAGTGAAGAAACCTCCCCCGACCCACCAAGGGTCAATTCAGTGACCAATCAGGGTTACAGATGTGGCCACATGACATGTACTACATTTCCCAGGATAACTTAACTACATTTACCATAACACATTCCCTTAAGGGGACAGCTCTCAATTCCTAACTAACTATCCCAAATCCCATTAACTATAACTGTCTGGACAGCACAATAATAAATACAACATTCAACAATAGGAATTCAACAATAGGAATTCAACAATAGGAAGAAAAACTAGCAGTAAATGATACTAGAATGTATGGAGCAAAAATATATAAATTGTTAAAAAGAAGGCTGAAGCAAAGATAGTGAAAGTCATTCATACAGAGCCCTGAGAAATTGAGGTCAAGTTTTGTCAGTATAAATCGAGTGGGGGGAACTATGGCCCTTTTATCCCTTGTGGACTTCAATGTTGGCTCAGGAATTCTGGGTGTTGAAGTGCACAAGTCAAAGGGGCCATAATTCCCCACCTCTGGTATAAAAGGAAGTCAATGCACTTTCTCTGAAACCACTTCTACATTCATTCTCACTATCTGAATTTCTGATGGCCAAATGAAGTGAAATCTCCACAAGTGAGCTGACCGATGGGGAAAAATCATATGGAAGCAAGTGATATTTTAAAATAATCTCGAATCCAAGAGTTTTCCCCCTCCCTACATTCAGATGCTTTCCATTAAGAAATATACATAGGATAAAATTGAATTGGTGGACTTATATGCAAATACAAACAAGATACAAAAAAGATAGTGAGGAATTTGGAATAGACAATGGATTACAAAAACTAGATAAAATCTTGATTGGCCTAGATGAGAAATTATAATTAAAGTTAGATAAACATTTATTAGAATTTGAAAGAGCGGAAGAAATTGTGAAAGGAACAATGATTGCATGGGGTAGGAATATTGGACATACTATTGATCTGGAAGAATGGGAAAAGATTTAGAATATGAATTATAAAATAACAAAATCGGTAGCATACAAGAAAAATCAACATAAAATATTCTATCATTGGCATATGGCACCCTCAAAATTGGCTAAGATCTATCCAAATGTAAAACCAAATTGTTGGAAGTGTGGATAACAACAAGATACCTTATTTCATTCTTGGTGGACATGCTCCAAAGCGAAAAAATATTGGAAAGTGATTCAAATGTGGCTAGAAGAGTTAACTAAAAACAAAATTGATTTTGTCCTGGAATTATTCCTTTTAGAAATAAAAAAAAACTATAACAGAAAGATAAAATATCTTATATTACATGTATTAACGGCAGCAAGAATTTCCTATGCCCAGTACTGGAAGAAAAACACCATATCACCTGAAGGCTTAATAATCAAACAAATTTTAGAGTGCGTGGAAATGGACAAATTAACTATGGAACTAAAAGGGAAAGCAGACAGGAAATACAATGCAATATGGGAAACATGGTATATTTGGATTGACAATAGATATAAGAATAGGAAATGTAAATAATGTATATAATAGATATGAGGGTATGAAAGTATTGTGTACTGTAAGTTTAGATAGGATACATAAACGTATATATAATATCACAGCACTGTTTAATAAGTATTGGTATTATGTATAAATGGAAAAAAACTCAAAGCATTTTTTAAAAAAATTATACACAGAATGAATTCAGACATTAAACTTTTTCACATAGTCAGGTGGGATTCAAATTTTTTAACAACCTATTCTGTGGGTGTGGCTTGGTAATCATGTGACTGGGTGGGCATGGCCAACTTGACATCACTCACATCAAGAGGTGCCTGGCCTGGCCTCCTCCTGCCTCAGAGGCCTCAACGAGATACAATTTCCCTGTCTATTTATTTACTATTACTGAACATCCAATGTACACTATTTAATCCTATGCATATATGCCATATGTGTACAGACATATTACATAGTATAGAGAGTGTATAGGCACACAGAAAGATACATTATCTACTATGTTTACTGTATGTGTACACACACACACACACACACACAGAGAGAGAGAGAGAGAGAGAGAGAGAGAGAGAGAGCGCTGTTCTAAAACTATATACGTTCAACCTCACTTACTGCATTTGGAAAAACACCCAGTGTCCACTTTCTGCCACATAACTTCTGTACATTAGAACATTACACACAACTTCAGAT